AGCCTCCTGGTATCCATAAGTTCTGAAAATATGAAAATATCCGTCTTGAAAAACATTTATACACATGCATCTTAGATGCTGTAGATGTCGTGACACCGAGACACACAATATCTGTGCAGCATGTTGGCATTTACACTGTAGCACCACTAGATACCAAAGAGACTGCTACAAGGACAGCGACTGTCTGCACACACGCACGCACGCACGCACGCACGCACGCACGCACGCACGCACGCACGCACGCACGCACGCACGCACGCACACACACACACACACACACACACACACACACAGATTCACCGACTTCAGAGAGCAGTTGCCTTTGCATGAGGATGAAGCGCAAGCATGTTGCTGGCCGGACAGGAACTAATTTGTTTAAACTTGACCCCTTAGCTTTTTTTTTTTTAGATGCTGCCTGGCGCTTATAATATTGTTGTCATGTTGTAAGAAAGGTTTCTCAGTTGAATGTTTTCACTGCAGTCCAACACATGCTTCAGCTCGAACTCACGATGGGTTCATCATCACAGGCGTCAGACATACTCTTCCTTGGTCTGAGTTCGCTTCTTGACATCCGTGACTGTTGGCAGCAAGTGTCTTTGATTGCAGAGTTTCAGCTTTTCATTTCTTTTCTTTGGCATTCTTGGCATTAATGCGAGCATTCATTTTGCTGCAAACATGTCACAAAAATGCTTGTGCATTTTCTTGCAACACGTGTTTTAAAATGAGCTCACTCGTATATTAATTTTCACAGTCGCAATTTTTACAGCCCAGGGCCACATTGCAGGTATGTCAAGTATCCGGTCGCTTGGGAAGATCTTTCTAGTTTCCATCTTTGCTAGCTGTAGTGATCGTTGACAGTGTGCTCCTCAGCAGTATTTTGTTTTATCTTCGTAAATGTGCCTTGTAGACGCGTGATATTAAAAGCAAGCCAGTTGCCTATACATTCCGAAGCACTCTTCTAAGTTTTCAGTTTTCAGCTTGTCCCATGGAGGCCGTACAGTAGCCCTAGTTCATCAAAGCAGTATCCAGGATGTTTATTTGACCGCTTCTGCAGGAAATAGAACGAAAAAAAAAGGAAATCAAATTAATCCAAAGAAAGGTAATGTAATCGAAAATTATTATAAAGATACAAAACATAAAAAAAATGCTCTTCTTTAAAGTGCAGCTGAAGGGTTCTGGATTTGAGAGAAAACACTGGGCAGTGTTTCGATCTGGTATTTCGGATCACAAACGTCAAAATTATTCTTGAATTTGATGTTCCGAATGCGCTATAATAATAATAATAATAATAATAATAATAATGCTTATTGCACGATCAGATAATACCAGGTACAGAAAATAATAATTATTAAGAATAATAATAATAGTATGCTCGATAAAGCTTCCTGGTGTATGGTGGGGTTCCTTGGGGAGCCTGAAGGAGCTCCAGCTAAATCGTTAGTATATGGCTCTGGTGTGTGGATAACTAAACTGGTCAATGAACCATATTCCGGCTTGCGTGTACTCCAAACTACGGCTCAGAGACCCGCTAAAATATAGGTCTTACCAGTTAGTTGTAGCGGATCGTTTCTGCGCTCCGATGAGGATACGCAGAAACGACACAATGTACTTCTGTTTTTTTTAATTGATGTGCTGGCTGCAACCGCGATAACCTATCACTTGCATACCTTGCAAGAACATTCCAACCTGAACTCATAAATCAAGTCATTTTATTTAGTTCTGCACCTACAAGTAGCGCCAGCATTTGAATATGTTGCTTGAAGGCCACAACCAAATCACTCCCAAGCATGCATTCAGCGAAAAGTAAAAACAAGAAACATGACCACAACCATAAAAATTAAAAAGTTCTCACCCTGCCATGCCGTCAAGGAGCGAGATCTTCCCATCGATTCGCTTTATAGTCCACGCTGTCGTAGTCATCCTTGCAGAAACTCAAATATGGACACTTTCACATCCAGTTTTCCGTCAAAGCGCGGATAAACAACATCTGTACGGAATGACAGCACCGACAATCGATAGCCAACGTTCACGTTCACACACGAAGCCGCGGTTTTGTTATATTCCAAAATGTGCTCGATCTCACTCAAGAGTTGAACTTCCGACCCTCGGCGTCCAAAAACCTACTCGCTTCTAGAGTTGTTCTAGTTGATTCCTCCAGCCTTCTTGTCACGTGACCCAACCCGCAGGAGTAGCTAAAAAAGGCGTCGAAAAAAGGAACGCGACGGACGACCGTTGAGAAAAAAAAAACGCGACGTTATGGCGCCTTTTTTTTTTTTGCGCCGTGTCAAGCATAGAGGGAAAGAGAAAGTAAAAGAGAACGTGCATTGCAAAGAAGCCAACTGTCAAGGGGAGCCTTGCGGAGAAGCGCACTACCAGTTCAGCCTACTCATGCCGACGCTCCTTGAAGGGCGAGAGGGAAGCGCTGCGGCTTTAGATCTAAGTGGTGTTGGGCGTGTGCGCCGAGCAGCATTCCCCTCCCTCCCCCCTTTCCCGCGGCCGCCGATGGATTCGCCCGCCGCCCTCCCCACAGCGGTCGAACCCACGCACGTGCCCGGGGGAGTGTCGGCACGCCGGACGTGTTTGTCGGCTCTCGAGACGCTACGCGGTGCTCCCCGCCAGCCTCTCCTTCCTCTCCGCGTGGATCAATGAGCGGTGGAGGAGGAAGGACAGGCCGCCGCCAGAAAACCGGGCTCGCGTCGTGCCAGGGACGCTGTCTAGACTCCTCTTGGCAAACAGTGTACGCTGCGGCTGTGGCCCACTTCATTGAATGAGGGAGGTGGAACGAGATACGTGAGAAAACTCCGGCTACTTCGCCAAGCGCACGGGGCCACTCTGCCGTTCCCTGGTGCGACGCTGACGAAGTTAGGAAAAACGTTGCTCCCCACTGATGCACCGACCGCTCGTGAAATGGCATTGGGTTGTTTCGAGGATTCGTTCGGGTAATATATATATGTGAGATGCTGTCGTCGGCTTGCGAACTTGCATTGGACGCTCCTCCGGGAGTCGAGGAGCTCGCGCTCATTTCTACCAGACGGCAAAAAGCGACTTCCGTTGCACGAAAGAAAGGACTTGCGCTCTGGTACACCCTAGTCCTGAGGCGGTGTGCGAGGAGTGCAAGGAGCGCCGTGTGACGTATTTCCGGATCGCAGACGAAGTTCCGCTGCTGAAAGAGAAGAAACAAACAAAATGGAGGCGGGAGAGGCTGCGGCGTGGGTCTGCGTGGTTTGCTCGCCTTTGTTACTAAAAAGTGCTGAATGCGGTCTTGGGTAGTATCGCGGTACTGGAACTTGTTACTTCTTTTTTTTTGGTAACTTCTAACTGTAACTTGATACATTTCTTTTTATGTAACTGCAACAACAACGTAAATACGTTTTTTAAGTGACTAAAAATTATCCGCAAAATTAGAGATACTTTTGGCGAAAAAAAGAATTACCTATTTTGCGAGCACTACAGCGGGTTCGACCGTGTTTGGAATTTGGGCTCCGCATTAGACGCGACAAAATAAAACAAAAACTCGAGACTTTATTCCTCGCCGCAAAGTGCACGAGCAGAGTGCAGATGTTTTAGAGCGCAGCTCTCGGACGCCCGTTTCCATATTTCGTGGCGTCGGCATCGGCGTCGTAATTGCGCTAATTTTAGCGGGAGAATAGACGTGACGTGACCTCAACACCAATTTAGTTCCTCGCTAAATTTAGGCCGGAAATTCAGTTCTCAGCTAGATTTAGTGGACAAATTCAGTTTCTCCGCTAGATTTAGTGGACAAATTCAGTTCCTTTGCTTAATTTAGTGGGCAAATTCAGTTTCTCTGCTAGATTTAGCGGGAAAATTGACGTCACGTGACCTCAAAACCAATTCAATTTCCCGGTAAATTTGGGAAGAAGTAACTATTCTACCCGTTACTTAAAATAAGTAACGTTAGTACGTTACCCATTACATTATTGAAAAAGTAACCAGTACGTTACTGCGTTACAGAAAAAATTAATGCCTTACCGGTAATGTCCTAGTTGCAACGCGTGACCGCCAAAACTGGTTTCAAGGCACACAGCCAGGAGAAGTCGCAAGTGTGTGAACCAGACTTTGTGTGTCTGGTTTCAAACTTTTTAAGCAATAAGTTTCCTTTAAACAAGGTAAAACGATTAAGTCGATCAATTAAGGGGGAAAATATAATATATTGCTCAGTTTTTTTTTATATAATAATACTGATAATAATAATGATATATTTATTTCCCATCAAAGGTTGGTGGCGGAAAAAAAAGCTCTCAGTTTGGCCGAGCTCCTTTCTCGCCAGGAAGTATACACGTGGACCTGAGGCAAAACTAAAAAAAAAGAACATGCGCGCACATGTATATCGACAGAGAGAAAACAAATTCAGCGTAATTCTGTACCTAGGATTACGCATAAACCAGATTCACGCGAGACGTCTGCCGGCAAGCTCTGACAGCAGCGCCACCGTAGTAGCCTGACGTCAGGAGTGTGTTCATATTTGAACGCGAAAGGGAGTGTAGGGTGTCGTAACCTCTCTGTTTAACTCCGTTCTTATGTATATCGCGAGCATAAATACGAGGAAGAAAGAAGACTACGCTTTCTTCCTCTCTTGTCTTCGACGACCAACGTGCAACAACTCCAGTGATTTTCATTATTTTCGAGGAACTCCCCAAAGTTGAGAAGGTATACACTAGAATAAACGGGCTTCCAGGTAACTCGCGCCCCCTCTAGGCAACTGGTGCGCAACTGAAGAAATCGGTCGGGGCATCGATCCCGCGGGACCTCCAAAAAGACATAGCGGAGCGCTCGGGAAGTCTTGGAGAGGTCTCGGACCAAGCGGATTTCTTCATCCCAGCTCCTGGGTGGTCGCCGGTTGTGCTTCATCCCAGGTGGAAGCCAAATGATTCTGGCGTAATGCAAGCGATGCGAGCGAGTCGTCGAGCACGACGAACTGAAAGGGCTGGACCACAAAACCGTGAACCATCTCTGTACTTATCAGTGTTTCTCCTCCGCAGATTGACATCCTGCACATGGACGACGTTCTCTGCGACGATTACTCGCTCATGGACGTGGCCTACATCTACACCTGGAAGAGGGTGAGCCTTCAGCACCCCGACGAACGCGTGCCTGCTGAGTGTAAAATAACTCCCGTTTGCAACTGCCCCGAGGGATCACCTCTCAGCTTTCGCTAATTTTGTGACGTCGTCACGATTCGCAGTGCTTTCAATACCCATTACTGCGGCGCATCCTTGGGCTTGTGACGCTGAGAGGCGCAAGCTTTTTCTTTTCAATGCCGGGCCAAGGGCCAGGCGTTGCGTAACAGTCCTATTTGATGATGAACATCGCATAGGCTACAGATGCCATAGGATCTGTATTCCTTGCTTCCCAGCAAGAATAAATGGCTGGTCTTCACCCCGTTGAATCTGCAAATATTTGCATTCATAGAAATAACAGAAAAGATGGAGGCGAGCTGGTACACTTTCAACTGTTGTGTGTGTGCTGTCCACTTTCTGTTCCTCCCTCAACCCCCTTACCCCCCACAGCGGCCTTGTGCCATCCTGCCTCCGAAAGGTTGAATAAATAAATAAATTAGGGGTGGCGGTCCGCCTTCCGTCGGCTAACTTTCACCCGCCTCAATGCACAACCGCGGGGGACTGGATCCGGAAATTTGCAGGATTCTCCTCTCCGCCTCGCATTCCGAGTGTACCCCCATCCTGCAAAGCGGCCGACCCCGACGGAGAAGACTGAGGACGCGGCGGACGTCGACGCGAGGGGCTGCAGCGGGGACCCGGACGGGCAGAAGCAGCAGTACCCCCGGGAACAGCTGACGCCGGCCTGTCGACTGGCGCCGGAGTTTTTGGCGGCGGCCAGCGTGGAGGAAGTCGTTGCCCAGGGCGTCGCGAGTCCGGAGACGAGAGCGGGACCACCCGCGCTGGTGCCGCGGGACGTCCTGCTGGAGGAAGAGGAGGAGGAACCTGCAGTTCGGACCGTCGTTCCCGCTGCCGCGACGCGCCGGCCGACGACGCCGGACGGGTGGTGAGTGCCCGAAACCGAAGCCTGGGACTTCTCAGATTGGATTTTGGCCCTGTAAATTTAAACTCGGGAGGGGAGGGAGGGGCGGGGGGGGGGGGGGGGATGCGGCGGCAAGGTCTACGTGCGGGATGGGCCAATTGACCGTTGGCCCATGGACTCCTGAACAGGCTCCGTGCATTGGCAGGGAGAAAGCGTGGTCACATGGACCAGTGTGGAGTTAGTGGACGGTTGATTGACGATACAACCCGCATGTAGCCTGCACTTAACCATATACCGTTTGGTGTTTAGATTCTCACTTCCCCGAACCGTTTCGTGTTTCCTTCATCCTTTATAGGCTCCTGTGTTCGCGCTCTCTCATCTGAACAGTCCCTGCTTAAACTTTACGGAATGCAAATTCTCCGGGCAATCGCGTTGGACCATAGAAGAGCTGTGGAGCGTGGTAGTCCACTCGTGGAGTTTGTCACGTGGCGATTAGTTCAACCTTTTGTGTGCCGACCGACGAAAAATGTATTTGTATGCCCGTTTCAATCCAGGGGTCCTCCTCCTCTTTATATTGCTGGTTTAACTGTTCCGTCATTTATGAATGATCAAAAGGGCGATTTTGTTTAAATCGTGCGGGAAAATGGAATCATGGTTCGAAAACTTTTTAAGAAAATATATACGCAGGACAAACTCTGCCCAAAAACGAAACTGAAAACCTTTTTTTTTGCGTCATATTTTGAGTTTTTGACTTCTAAAGGGACCAAAGGCGGATATGGGAATGTGAATGATCGTCACAGGTCGCACACTTCGGAGCTTCACCAAGCTCAAATACCTTCTGCACGCACACAAAAAAAGTTTTTTACATGGCTTTTAACACTGCATGAAAAGTGCCAAATGTTAAGAAACAAAATATGTCGTTGCTTTTAGTTATGTTTTGTAAAAAGTGCTGAATCAGGCTTCTTTGACTGTAATTTACCTTGTTTGGATGATAACTTTTGTTACATTCAATGTTGTGGCATAAATAATATAGGAACTGAAACTCTAAACAAATACCTATTTCACAAGTACATTATCGTTATTGTGAAGTCAATTTACCGCAGCGGAAAAAGGCTATATATTAGAGGAATTAAAAAAAAATTCAACGAGAACAATTTTAAAGGACAGTTTCTTTAAATGTTTTTTGTAGGGTCTAAAATAAATTTATAATTACGCGTAATATATTGTTTGGAAGTAGAAAACCCTACATTCATAAAAATCACGAGCCATTCCACTCTTTGAAGGTGCATGACCAGCCAAGCTGTTTAGTACACGACAGAGACCCGCCCCGAGGAGCCGGCGGAAAGTAGACACGCGCGACGGGACCGCCATTCCGGGAGAGCCGAAGGAAAGGGAACTAGGCGCGCAAGGCGCGGGGGGGGGGGGGGGGGAGGTTTGGAACGACGACAAAGACAGGGCGGTGCGAGTGCAGACATGGCCGACGTGGGTCGCACATGCAGTAGCGAATCTTTGAGGAACCTTTATTTTCTACCTGTGAGTCTACTGATCTTCAAAATGGTGCCTAGTGATAACTAATCTGCTGAATAGACCTATTGCTGACTTACCCATGCATCAAAGAGAATGCAGGGAATGGGTGTTCCACGCGCCGCACGCGCCGGCGTCTGCAGCAGTAAGTGTTCGAAAGCAAAAGCCTAAAACAAATGGCATCTTGCACGCGCGTTTGTCAACGCTTTATTTTGGTTGCTTACTTGAAATCTTTTATACGGGGAAGGCGTGCGCGTCCGGCGATGCAAGCGTAGAGTTCTTGGTCACGCTTACGTAAAACCGGAACCCTAGCCATAAACAGCTTCGCTGTTGAAGGCGATATATTTCAAGTTCACTTTTTAAGATGGGACTCTCGGTCTCATTTATTGGTTTCCGCCAGATTCTAATTTTATTTGTTGATTCAGCGCCTCTCCGGGGACTCCTTGCAGCATGGCGGCGACTGAGGGGTCTGCTGCCACAGGGATTGTCCAGGCCGCTGCCCCCGTGCGGTCGTGCTCCCCGCCGCAGCAACGGCGGCAGAAAGAGGCCGAGCCCCCCGCCGTGAGTCCCCCCGCCCTGTCGAAGATCACCATCAGCACCCTGGACAGGAGCAGCAACAAGATCACCATTCAGACGAAGGAGGTGCCCCCGGCGGTGGCGCAGGCCATGTCCCCGCCCCGCTCCCCGCAGTCCAGGAAGTCCAGGCGCAAGGAGCAGCGTTACGCCGAGCGGACGCTGCAGCACGTCAGGCACCAGGGACGGCCCCCGGACAGCCAGGACGCCCAGAGGCCCCGACGTCCCCGGAGCCGTTCTCCGGGGCGACTGGACGGAGCGACGCCGGCCAAGAACGCGAGGCTAAACGGCGCCGACGTCGCCGAAGTCGCTGCCGCGGACGGCCGCCGCGTGTCCCGCTCCGCTTCGCCCGGCAGGCTGGTTCCCGAGCGCGCGTCTCTCCCGGAGCCGGCCCAGCAAAGCCAGAGTCTTGCCGAGAATGGCTCGAGGCCCGACAGTCCCGGGACGCCCGTATCTCCGCCCCGGGCCCACCCGCAGACCCCGAGGACTCCTCCCGCCGCCCCTCCACTTGCCCCGAGCGGCACGAAAAGCCAAGAGGACACGCGACCCCTCGACCTCTCGGTGTCACATCGGGGCCTGCCAGCGCCGGCGCCCGTGCGCAGGCCTGTCGGGAGGCCGCCCTTCGTGTTGCCCTCGGCGGGCCCACCGGGTACCGCCAAGGGGACCGCCTCGCCCTCCCCGCACCGCAGGGCGGCGGCGGCGTCCCCCGCGGTGTCGCTGTACCAGAAGCCGGCCGTGGCGGTCAACCAGGCCGCTACGTCCTCGGCACTGTCCCAGCAGCACCACCACCACCACAACCACCACCGGAGCGGCAGCAGGGGCTTCCTCAAGGGCGCCAACCTGACGTGCATCAACCCGGACCCGGACGCCTTTCACCCGCGCATCGTCATCAAGAACCTGCCTCCGCGCACTTCCGGTGCCAGCTTCCACAGGGTGTGATATGTGAGAGCGCGTCGCTTTGCCGCCCTTTCCCTCGAAGAGACGGCGCGACTCGTGGTAGCGTGCGCCTTGTTTCTAGTCTCCCTTCAGGTGTCTCTCCTACTGCTACCGCGAGCGCACGTGCAGCTGGCGGGATTCGCGGGAGACGACGCCGTTTGTTTGTGCGTGCGAGTGAATGGAAGCCGTCTTGGCGCCAGTGAGAAGACATCTGGATACACACTCCCTGCCGCTCGGATACATCCTGGTGGGTCGGGCAGATGTGCTCTTGTGTTGGGAGGCGGTCGTGTATGCTGTGCTCGCTCCTCGTGACTCGTGGGGCCCGGCCGCCATGCGAGCCCGTGAGGAGGACTGCTTCATGCGCGGCCTCCGGCGTATGTGGGTGGCACAAATCTTGGTGTGCGCGAGTTCGTGTCAAGCTGCGTGAGCGTCTTCAACTCGAGGAATATGTGCACACACCTGGATTACCTCGGAATACGGTCCTCGTGAACCTCAAGCCTGCTTCTTGGGAAGATTTCTTTCTCCGATTCTCGCAAACTGCTCTTCGCCAAAGAGCAGACGCGGGAGCGCTCTTTGCGTAAGTGCGTGCTGGGAACGTAGTCCTACCCTCCAATAGTACAGTAATGCGCCTTTACGTTTAGTGACGGCACCGCATCAAGATAGTGCAATACTGCGAATATGCGCACATGTTAGACCGAGAACTTCCGAAAGCAAGCAACGCACGTATTGTGAATTGTTTAAATAGACCTCACTGCCTATAATTATTTCTTTTAATCCTGTGTCTAGAAAATTCCGGAAGATAAAGGGTGCCCTGAGGAGATTTCTAAAATCGCCTAAATATGGCGATAACTCATTCTGCGGACTCGAATCAACCCTAGACATCCAGAAACCATTACGATGCGTGGTCCATTTCCCCATTAAAAAAAAGTGAAAGCTGTTTACAACTCCCTGTAACGCCGAATTAGAGCGCAGCTCTTGAGGAGGAGGAGGGAAGGGTACTGGGGGGGGTCAAGTGACCTTGAGGGGTCACGTGACCTAGTTGGTCACGTGACGATGCCGATGACGTCATCAGTAACGATGACGATGCGGATACCATTGACGTCATCAGTGATGATGACGATGCGGATGCCGGTGACGTCATTAGTGATGATGACGATGTGGATGCCGGTGACGTCATCAGTGACATCACTGATGACGTCTTCAGTGATGATGGCGTCATCGCATCGTCATCAGTGATGATGACGATGGGGATGCCGGTGACGTCTTCAGTGACGTCACTGATGACGTCATCGGGGGTCACGTGACCTCGGGGGTCACGTGACTTTGGAAGTCACGTGACTCTGGGTGTCACGTGACCTTGGGGGTCACGTGACCCTGGAATAGGTCACGTGACCCCTGGGGGTCACGTGACCTTGGGGTCATGTGACCATGGATGACCTTGAGGGTCATGTGACCTTGAGGTGCCCTTGGTTACGCCGACGCCGACGCCGCTCAAGCCGGGAACGGGCCCCTAAGAGCTGCGCTCTAAAAACAATCAAAGACGGAACACACCACGAGGTCATCTCCGGCGAGGGAGGAGCATGTTCCAAAACCAGGACCGCTGTCAGCCAATAGCAAGCAAAGGATTCTCGCGCCTCCGGCCGGTTGAACCACGGAGTGAGATCACGAATGTGCGCGCGGCTCGTCGCCCATACACCCCATACTACGATAGAACCCAGCGGGCGAGAGCTCGAGAGCTGACGACCAGACACCATCGCTCCCCCCCCCCCCCAAAAAAAAAAAGCAACAGCAAAAAACAGTCCGCTTTTTTAGAGCGCAGCTCTTAGGGGCCCGTTCCCGGCTTGAGCGGCGTCGGCGTCGCCGTTGGCGTAACCAAGGTCATCCCAAGGTCACGTGTCCCCCAAGGTCATCCCAAGTTCACGTGACCCCCAGAGGTCACGTGACCCCTCCCCCAGGGTCACGTGACCTTGGGGGTCACGTGACACCCAAAGTCACGTGACCCCCTGAAGTCACGTGACCCCCCGAGGTCACGTGAAACCCCCCCCCCCCCCCGAGGTCACGTGACCCCCCCCCCCCCCGAAGTCACGTGACACCCCCAGTGTCACGTGACTTCGGGGGGCATCCGCATCGTCATCATCACAAATGACGTCATCAGTGACGTCACTGATGACGTCGCCAACATCCGCATCGTCATCGTCATCATCGCTGATGACGTCAACGGAGTCCGCATCGTCATCGTCACTGATGACGTCATCAGTGACGTCACTGATGACAGCATCGGCATCGTCAGGTGACCCCTCAAGGTCACGTGACCCCCCCCCCCCAGGTCACTTCACCCCCCCAGTACCCTTCCCTCCTCCTCCTCAAGAGCTGCGCTCTAATTCGGTGTTACAGGGAGTTGTAAACGGGGCAAAAAAGCAACAGCAAAAAACAGTCCGCTGTTTTTGACACGATTATTACAGCATTATGTTCCCTCTACAAAAGCATTCACATTTTGTAAATATTGCGTTCACAATCTCAACGAAATGTCGCGTGTTCATTGCTCACATATCCCGGCTGCCGGAGCAGTGATCCTCCCATCGCCTGAGATGACCTCGGTGTGTTCGATCTTTACTTGCCTTTTGTAGCGTGAGCTACACTGGCCGAAATTGAGCAGTTTCGCGTGGCTCCTGGAAAGCCGTGCTGCGCATGCGCGAGGAGCAGTGACGTCACACGTCGCACAGCTGACGCGCCGGAGCCGCCGCCGTCGCGCGCATTCCAGAGGAGTGACGTCATAGCCGCGGCAGCCGCACTGGCGCCGCCGCGTGCCCAGCTTGCGTCTGTGCCCAGACGTTGAGCAAAAATATATATATATATATATATATATATGTATACATGTCACATAATGCGTATACGGTGTGTGTGTCATTGAAACAGCAGTAAGCATGATAATCAAGCTAATCCTAGACTACCAGGAAAGCTAAGAATGACCAGCTGAACCTAAGCTCACGCTACGTATATCCTGGCATAGGTGAGCTAAGCCCCTGCAATTTTTTAATAGGGAATTTGGCCGCGCATTGTTATGATGTATAGATTTACTTAGAGCCTGCAGAGCGAGGAATTGATATATATTAGGCGATCCCAGAAATTTCCTCAGGGCACCTTTAATGAACAGATGTAGTCAGCTGCGCGTCACGAAGACGGTCTTTAACGCTGATTGCTTTATTTGCCCCAAGAATAAAGACCCAATAATTGCAGAATATCATACACGCACATGTATTGGTGTGCACTCGTACGATGAAAAAGTGGTTGAGGCTGGACAGGGACAATTTCCTGTCCAGCCATCGGTGTTGTTCCTCGTCTACACCTGTCTGTCTATGCTAGAAAAAGCGGTGGAGAAACTGCATCGTGACGTCGCCGGTGGGAGGAGCCTAATCTCCATCGCCAACAAACTACATCGGAAGAGAACTGCACCGTGACGTGTCCGGTGACGTCGCCGAACAGTTGCGATTGAGTTGAAACTACATCGTTTCTTTTTTCCCTACAGGGAATTTCGGAGGTTCGCCGAGTGGGCTAGCGCAAACCAGCTCGGAGCACGTGGAGCGAAAGCTCGCGCTGCAGAACCCAGGGATCGTGGGTTCAATCCTCGCTCCTGCCCGTTTCGATCTGCTGGATGAGCATCGTACCGGCGTGCGGTCGTGTACTGCGTGATTCACGTTAAAGACTTCGGGCTAGCAGTCGTACTGCAGTGGCTAAATTGCTTATCTACAGTGGGTAACAATGTCGCCATGTTCAGGCAGACCAACCTCGTGCTGTATAAACAACTAACGACAAATTTTACTTTTTGACTATGTTTGACTGCGTCAGTGCAACTTCTCTCGTGCTGCACGAGAAAGAACAAAATGTTCGTTCGGGGGTTAAGTTTTCGGTGAAGAAGGAAGCAAAAAAGAAGAAAAGAGAATATTTCCCTCAAGTTGGGCTCGTAGTCGAAGAGGGGGAAGAAGAAAATCAGTTGTTAGTCCCACGGTGTGTATGGTGTTTTCTCTATGTGTATGTTTATTCTAGTTCAGCTGGCCTGACCTGAAGTAGTTGCTTTAAAATAAAGCTTATCTCGCTCTCTCTCTACCTGAAGTATGAACGAACTAGCTCAACTTAAGCCTGTTACTGTTGCTTGCTTGGCTTTTCGCTCAGCCAAATCGCTTATATGGGGTGCACTCAAATGAAAACACAATCGTGTTAATTCGTGTAAGAGTATTTAGAATATTTATCGATCACGCCGCTGAACTTGCATCGCTCGAAGAACTTCCTTTTTGTGAGCGCCTTCTCTGCTTGAGTTTGTTGGAAACACAGCCACTTCCATCCGAGGCAATCGATGATAGCGTTGGTGACATCACCAAGTACGTGACTCACAGAGTACCGGAGAACACCAATGTTTTCGTCGCTCCCGACGGTTCCCTGGGAGCCGCCAACGGCGTAAAAGCGTAGAGCTGCGAGGACTTGTTTTTCGACCGTCAGCACACGGGGCCCTTGAAGACAACGCTGGAGCTTTCCGCGAAGTTGTCGCACAACCAGCGAGTCGCCCCTTTGGTCAGTTGGTATTCGCCCACAAACCTCGCATCGCTCGTCTGTAAAGCATCCCGGTGATCTCTAAAAACTCGATCCGCTGGCGAACCCAACAGTAGAGATCCATATGTTAGGGTCGCCATCTTTTACGATGCAGATTGATCTCTGGCTTCGCCTCGACCACTCAATTAACTGCATCGTCAAAGTGCATCGTGACGACATTTTGACGTCACCGCTAAATGCATCATTTTACCAGCATAGCTCGAACTGCACAGGGAAAAACTACATTTCAACGTCATGTCACGTGACCCGAGAGAAAAGCCAATCAGTGCCCGATGCAGTTTTCTACATCATGTAGTTGGCGTTCCAGCATAGACAGACAGGTAAGAACAAGCGACGAGGGGTGCACCTGGCGTGAGTGAGTGAGTGAAAGCGATGTTTATTATATCTTTTTTTTTTTTGGAAAAATCGACTGTTGCTTGTGCACTTAGTGTGCACATGTCACTGTCGATAGGAAAGGGGATTGGGTGAAAAAGAAAGGATAGAAAGAGAGGATTAGGTTTGGAGGGGGGGGGGGGGGGGAGCCAGGTGCAGGGGGATGTCCTGGCCGTCGCAGGCATGTCGAGTCATAGGACGACCCAAGCCACAGAACCCAAAGCCTGTCGATGTTTGATGTGGAGCCGTCTTAGGGCGAATAGCTAAATATCTTAAAGCTGCGTTGGCTGGTAACTGTGCTTCAAGGCTAATATCGGCACGAACGTTCGGTTGAAGGAATGACCTTTCTTGTCTTGGCTGAACAAGCTGTGTCTGAAATGCAGATTTCGTAATCATGAGCTGGAACGGTAGATTGGGTAGTCGTGCCTTGTTCTGGTGTGTTGAACTGTAGGTGGTCTCCTAAAGAATTTCTAGGAGTTCCGTGTCCTTCATGTAAGTTATTAGTTTTTTTAGTGCCATGTCTGTCACAGCTCGCGTTGCCCGCGGATGCAGAAAGTCCTCCAGGCTATCACTGGAGAGTCCGAGGCGGGAATAGGCGTTATGGAGGGCAGTACGCTCGTCATTGTAGTCGGTGCCGTGTAGGAGGAGGTGCTCGGCGTCAGCAGTTTCCTGGCAGGTTTGGCAATCGGGGTTGAGATCAGGCCTGAAGCGACCTATCCACGCTGGTGTGAAAGCGCTTCCGGTCCGCAGACGGTGGAGCACCGCAGCA